GCGGATTGTAGACCTTAAGCTTGCAATAGCCGGCGTCCACCACAAACATAATGCCGTCCACTGTAAGCGATGTTTCGGCGATATTCGTGGCCACAATACACTTGCGTAGACCGTCTTCAGCCTTCTGAAAGATCTTCGCCTGTAAATCGGACGGCAATTGAGAATATATGGGAAGTATTGACAGTTCGGGCGTTTCTGTCTGCGAGGTCTCCGATAATGTCTTGAGCCGTTCGGCGATCACTTCGCACGTGACCTCAATGTCCTCCTGTCCCGGCATAAACACCAGTATATCTCCGGGAAGTCCTCCCAAATGTATTTGAAGCGTCTGTTTGACGGCTGCGTCGACGTAGTCTTCGCACGAATTCTTCGAGAAGTAGAGTTGTACGGGAAAAGTGCGTCCGGGGATTATGAAGACGGGAACGTTGCCGAAGAATAGGGCAAACTTCGAGGCGTCCATCGTTGCCGACGTAACGATCAGTTTGAGATCTGTTCTTCGGGCGACAACATTGCGAAGAATGCCAAACAAGACATCGGTGTCGAGACTGCGTTCGTGCGCCTCATCCATGATTACGGCGCTATAATTGTCTAAATCTGGTTCCGACGAAAGCCAATGTTGTCCTATCGTTAACGGCAAGAGTGCCGGCAGTGGTTCCCACTTCGGACACCTTCGAGAGTCCCGGTTCTGCTCTCCTGTAAAAGACACAAATCAACACTTGATTGGTATAACTAGTGATAAAAAGTCACTGAAATGAATGCCAAAATACCGGATCACTTGATATAAGACATATCGAAACAATTCTTGAAAAATGATGGAAAAAACGACACCAAAGACCAGATATTCTCTGAGAGGCACGACTGCTGTCCATAAGATAGACGACAATAACAACGATACTAACCAGAAGAATGCTCTGCAATGAACAGGTTATGGTTAACAGTAATACTCATTATTGTTGACAATACTTAGTGAAGACAATACTCACGCAGAGATCAATATAATGATTCTGATCGGGTCTTTGGCTATCAATAGACAAAACATAGCGAATGGCGGACCAAATGAGATGAAAGTGCAGCCAAAGAACTCCATTGTGGTCATCGTCGGTGCGGTGTCTCACGAGTTGTGTTATTGTGTGTCAATCAATCGGTTCCCACGGCTTGTGGGCAAAGACAGCGAACGACAGACACAAGTGAGCGGTTGAATGAGTTGTCGGAGTCCTCGTTATGAGCGGTGTTTGCGATGAAAGGCGTTGTCGTCGAAGATGTCTTGTATTGGACACCAAAACAGTCTCTACTCTCGTATCGCAAACCCAAACATCACAGCAAACAATACGTTCACTCAATGCAAGCAATAGAGGCGTAACTCATGACTCGATATAACGCGCGTTTAGGCTATGAATGAATGGCTGAGTTGTGACCGAAAGTGAAAACACATTTTCACGCATTCACTGCGAAATGCGTTTGTGTTTTGTTGACAACTATTTGTCGCAACACTTCTCACCACAAGAAGAACCCATCGATCCTTTCGATCAGTCATTTGGCCATTCATTACATGTTTTAATCATCGCTTCAATTGATATGTTTACTGCATTTGTGGTCACTTTGGCGTAACTCTTGTCCATTAGTGAAACTCAGCGCCGGTTTCGGCCATTGATTTGTGCGATACTGTTGTGGCGGACATCGGATCAGTTGTATTGCGATGTCTTTTGACACGTCAAGTGTGAACCGATTGGAGGGAAGCGCTAAAGAAGTCGGCGGTCTTATCATAAAGAAGAAGACGCCTAACAATGAGGACGAGTTTGTGTTCAAAAAGCCGGGCATTTCTTTACTCGGTTTGGACCGATTGGCCGAAGAGAAGAGGGAACAGAAGGCACTCCAAGACATTCAACGAGACTATGAACGCGATTACAGGGATAAGAGCGACGACCGCAGGGGTAGAGACTATAGGAGTGATAGCGAGAGATCGGACCGAAGCGAGAGGTTTGACAGAAACGATAGGTTTGACAGAAGCGAGAGATCGGACAGAAGTGAAAGGTCTGAGCGAAGCGAGAGTCGAGAGCGCGACGATCGGCGCCGCGAGAGCCGAGACCGCGACGACTATAACAGGAGTCGACACATCCGTAAGCATCGGATCGAAACGCCATCACATTCTGGAGGAGTTAGCGATGAATATCTGCAGAGAAAGAGGAGGAGAGACGAAGAGAGAAGGGATGACAGGCAGAGACAGTCGACCCTTAAGACGAATGGAGGTCTGGCGCGTCGGTGGGCGCCCACACCTCGTATTAACACTCCATCGCATTCCAGTTGGGATGAAGACGACAGTTGGGATCGCAGGTCCCAAAGGGGTGATCGTTCTGAACGCTCTGAACGGCCCTTCACTCCGGACGCCAGATCTACCGGTGATTTGCGGACCTCTTGGGAGTTGACTCCCTATCGGATGGGAACTCCGGGGACACCGAAACCGACGCCAACCCATTGGGGACATCAACGCAAAAATACGGATAACCCTTACGATTGGGAGAACGATGAGGAGGAAGAGCGGCGAATGGACAGAGAATGGTATGACGAAGAGTACCGGGGACACCGAAACCGACGCCAACCCATTGGGGACATCAACGCAAAAATACGGACAATCCTTACGATTGGGAGAACGATGAGGAGGAAGAGCGGCGAATGGACAGAGAATGGTATGACGAAGAGTGCGATCAAAATCCATTCGGAAATATGAACGAAGACTTTGTGCAGCGGCGCGAAGAAGCGCTTAAGAAGAATAAAACCGTTCAGAGGATTAGCGCTCAACAAAGACAGATCAATAAAGACAATGAAAAATGGGAGACCAATCGACTTCTTCTGTCCGGAGTTGTGGTTCGAGTGAACGATAATATGGACGAAGAAGAAGAGGTGAATGAGGGAAGAGTGCATCTAATGGTTCACAATATAGTGCCGCCATTCCTCGACGGACGCATAGTCTTCACTAAACAACCCGAACCTATAGTCCCTGTGAAGGACCCGACGTCTGACTTTGCGATTCTCTCCCGAAAGGGTTCGGCTTTAGTTCGATATCACAGAGAAATGAAGGAACGAAAGAAAGCCCAGAAGAAAGAGTGGGAGCTTTCGGGCACTCGTTTGGGAGATATTATGGGCGTTGAGAAGCCTAAGGACGAGACCGACCAAAATGATGAGAAGAATGACGATTACAAAGCGGAACACCGTTTCAAAGACCATATGGATGAGAACGAGGCGCAGACCGATAGGCAGAAGATCCGCAAACAAAGACAATTTCTGCCCGCTTTTGCCGTTCGCAACGAATTACTGAATGTTATTCGAGACAACAATATTGTGATTATTGTCGGAGAGACCGGTTCTGGAAAGACAACACAATTGACACAATACTTACACGAAGAGGGATATACCAAATACGGGATGATTGGCTGCACTCAACCCAGACGTGTGGCCGCGATGTCTGTCGCCAAACGTGTTTCCGACGAAATGGGCATTAAATTGGGCGAAGAAGTGGGTTATGCCATACGATTCGAAGATTGCACTTCCAATAAGACGATCATTAAGTATATGACGGATGGAATACTTCTGAGAGAATCACTTTGCCTTGGTCTAAATCTGTTAATATCGCGGCATTAGTACCTACTCCGCGTGCTTGCGTCAGAGCTGTGGCTACAGAACAAACCGTAAGAAGCGTTACAACAGCGGGCTTCTTGTCTAGAGTTTGACTAAGTGACGTCGGCAACGATGGACGCCTCGAAGTTTGCCCTATTCTTCGGCAACGTTCCGGTGTTCATAATCCCCGGACGCACTTTTCCCGTACAACTCTACTTCTCGAAGAATACGTGCGAAGACTACGTCGACGCAGCCGTCAAACAGACCCTTCAAATCCATTTGGGAGGACTTCCGGGCGATATATTGGTGTTTATGCCGGGACAGGAGGACATTGAGGTCACGTGCGAAGTGATCGCCGAACGGCTCAAGACATTATCGGAGACCTCGCAGACAGAAACGCCCGAATTGTCAATACTTCCCATATATTCTCAATTGCCGTCCGATTTACAGGCGAAGATCTTCGTCTTCCGACTTCTGCCAGATGCGTTCACATAACACCGGTGCTTATAGCGGCTTTGTAGCGAATGTCACCTGCCGTAATACAAACACCACCTGCGGCCGATAACGTTCGAATTCCAGATGTTAGGCGGTATAGGTATGGATGCGCTTCAAGTGTATCCCATATCGCAGGCGAACGCCAACCAGCGAAGCGGTCGCGCGGGCCGAACGGGTCCGGGATGTTGTTATCGGTTGTACACCGAAACTCAATACAAACACGAAATGTTGGCCAACACTGTGCCCGAGATTCAGAGGACTAATTTAGCGAACGTTGTGTTACTATTGAAGTCACACGGAGTGCAAGACTTATTGCAGTTTCATTTCATGGATCCGCCGCCGGAGGACAATATGTTGAATTCCATGTATCAGTTGTGGATATTGGGCGCACTCGACAACGTCGGACAGTTGACTAATTTGGGCCGAAATATGGTTGAGTTCCCATTGGATCCGGCGATGAGTAAAATGCTTTTGGTGTCAACCGAAATGAGGTGTTCGTCCGAAGTGTTAATAATAGTGTCGATGCTTTCCGTTCCGTCCATTTTCTTTCGGCCCAAAGGGAGGGAAGAGGAGAGCGATTTGGTTCGCGAGAAGTTTCAGGTGCCGGAGTCGGACCACTTGACACTTCTCAATGTCTACCTTCAGTGGCAAACGCATCACTTCTCCACCCATTGGTGTCAACAGCACTTCATTCAAGCAAAAGCGCTGCGAAAAGTGCGTGAAGTGAGGCAACAGCTCAAAGAGATCATGGAATCACAGAAATTGCCGGTCCTTTCGTGCGGAACCGAATGGGATTGTGTCCGGAAGTGCATCTGTTCGGCGTATTTCCATCAGGCGGCCAGACTTAAGGGCATCGGAGAGTATGTCAACTGTCGCACAGGAATGCCCTGTCATCTGCACCCGACCTCATCCCTCTATGGCATGGGATTCACTCCCGATTATGTCGTTTATCACGAATTAATGATGACTACCAAAGAGTACATGCATTGCGTCACTGCAGTGGAGGGCCAGTGGATGGCAGAGTTGGGACCGATGTTCTACTCCATCAAAGAGTCCAATAAATCACGGTTTGAACGAAAACAAGAACAGAGAGACCATCAAAAGGAAATGGAGTACGAAATGAATTTAGCGCAGCAACAGATCATACGGCGCAAAGAGGAGTCCGACTCACAGCACACAACCCCCAGGGCTACACCTATTGCCACTCCTGGACTCAAACGGCCCAACACTCCCGGCACACCTCGACGAACGCCTTCGCGATTCGGGCTTTAAATCAATCATTTCCAACATTATATACTAATGTAATTCTGCAGTCTTTCACTCATTGAAATAATTCAAGACATGTTTGAATTCTGTTATAAATATTTTTATTTATCAAATATTTAAATAAAATTATATATATTTCTGTCGACTATTTAATTGTTAACTTTATTTTTACTTCAATTGTCATCATTTTTTAACCTATAGAACACTGAAGTAGTGGTTATAAGTTGAAGTGAATATCTCTATGGAAACTAAAGATCGGTTTCAGAACATAACAAACAAAACCAGATGTTTTGGTGTGAATTTTGTGATTGAATTGAATGTCAGTTTAATTGAGTTGAAAAATGTCAAAATCGGAGAAAGAGATCAAACCAGTGATGGCTAACAATAATATCGTGATTCAAGAGGAGAAGCCGTTCTTCATATTATGCAAACCAAAACTATTGCCATTAAAGTCAATGACTTTGGAAAAGTTGGACAAAATGCAAACCGACGCCGAAGAGAAGGCTAAACAACTGATGCTTCAAAGCCAACAACAATAACCACAGACACAACACCCGCTTCTAATCACGTAATCATTAAAACACGTCATTCATTAAAATGCTTTCTCATATTTTTTATTTTATTACAGAAATTTGTTTAAAAAACATTAAAACTGAATAAAATATTAAACAAAAATAATAATTAAATGAAATATTTGTAAATAATAATAATATTAATTAATAATATAAGAATCGGATTTTGTAGTAAAAATTAAATAGCGTTTGAAATTAAAAGTCCTTTCAGTCTCCCATTTGACCCAAAGTTGCAGTTATTTATATTAATTTATATGAAATATCGTTTTATACTGTATTATGGCTTCGAAAAGAAAATTAATAGAAATTAGTAACCAATGGTTATTTTGTTAAAAAGATATCACATATTTGTAAACCTTTAATTAAAATTGTCTAAAATAGCGACACATTCGGAATGTAATGCATTTAGAAATACTTTTATATATAAATTTTCTGATGATATTATGAAAAATTACACAATATTTTTATTATTAAATTAGAAAATAGTTTGCAATGCAATGATGTAACCAATAATAGAATTTAACAATTTGTAAACTGTCTCTTTGATTGCAAAAGCATTACATTAAATACTTTATACAATACATTAAATTATACACTACAGGCCTCCCAAACCTCCAAATCCATGTCTATTATCATTAGGCCATTGATTGGGTGCAGAGTTTTGCATTTGAGGCGTTCGTATAGAATTGATATCTATTAACACAAATTGAAATCCATTGAAATAACTGTTAATTGAAATACCGGTAATAATAGTAGAGTAATTACAAACCTGATGGTCTCTGCATAGGAGTGGGAGTTAATCCAAAACCAAAATGGTTGGTCGGAGACATCGGTGGTTGAGCTGATGGGCCGACCGACAGGTTGTTCACCTGTCGGGCCAATTGGTTCATTGACGGCGCGTTCTGTTTCTCATATTTACTGCCCATAAGATTATCGACATTAATGTTGACATTTTTGCTTAAGTCACTCCATGTGTTGTTTTGCGATACGTTAGTCGAAGCGCTCACATCCTTGTCATCGAAACTGGAGAACATGTCGGTTGAGTTGGCGCTCGCATTCATCGGTGCGTTCGTAGGCGTAGGCGTGAGGACACCGGACATTGGGTTTGAGCTCATTAGTGGACTCAATGGCATTGAAGACAAAGTACTGGCGGTTCCCCCAAAAGGATTCGTTGATTGCATCGGAAATGAGTTGTCAGACAATAAGTTTTGTGACGTTTGAGCGGCGGTTGGACCCAAAGCTGTGGTGAAGTCCGCGAACTCGTCGACAGAGGAATTGTTGGCCACAGAAGTGCTCTGAAATGCCGTGAAATCCGCAAAATCTTCTAAACTATTATTATTAATATTGTTATTACTATTCATTAGATTTTTAGTTAAATTTAAATTATTATTATTATTAACACTTGAAGTGAAGACATCAGCGGTTGTGTTAAATATCTCTTCCAATAATAGTTCGCTGGACTTCTGATTCTGATTAACATTATTGCTGTTCCCGACGGATGGCTCGGTCTCGACCAGACCTGAGGTGTGTTTGTGTGTAGAGTTGGTATCGTTTTTACCAAAATTAACAGCTGCTCCCATATCTATCTTCTTTACGGTGTCCTTCTTAACGGTTCGCTTCGGACTGACGGCCGACGCATCGCTTCGGCACTTATCGCTCGATTACTGACTAAGAGGGTTGCTGAGCCTTAGTTTGCTAAGCCCAAACAGAAGCTTTGACAAAAGCGAGTGTAACAGGAGTTTAAAGAATCCGAACGCAAGTGACGCCGGTATCAAAAGGAGTAGTTTCAGTTGCTTTCGTGATGGCGGGTCATACCAGCCGTCGTTATACCTGATTATATGTTAAACACAATTGTTGGGTAAATATATTGCATTTATTTTGTATTATTTGCTCTCCTTTTAGAGGATATTTATATAAGAATTATTCAAACGATTAGTTTATCTCAATATGAAATCAAAGGTCACTGTTTTGAGAGCTATTGTGTTTTTGAGGGTTTTTTTTGTGAGTGTTTTAGTGTAAAGTTAATGCAAAAAAATGTTGTTTCGCGAGTCAACAGCAGTTTTGTCGTTCATTTAAGTCATTTCATTAAAAAAGTAATAATCATTTTAAATGACTTAAATGTTTATAAATTATGAATAATATATAAAAGCAATGAATAATCAAAAATCAAGTGAAAAAGAAGAAAATGAGCGAAAGTAACGGTAATTACTTGTTTTGTAGACCCATTTGGACCCGGGGACACCGAAACCGACGCCAACCCATTGGGGACATCAACGCAAAAATACGGACAATCCTTACGATTGGGAGAACGATGAGGAGGAAGAGCGGCGAATGGACAGAGAATGGTATGACGAAGAGTATGACTGATTCTCCCAACGACTCGGAATCAAACGATTCGGGTTTGTCTTCGAAACTGTTTTCGCTCACATTGTCCTCAAATTTCTTAGGCTTGCGTTCACTGCGGCCATAGTTTTCCTCATCAAAGTCCTGTTTTCGTGACGGCGGGTCATACCAGCCATCGTTATACCTAACCATACGTTAAACACAATTGTTGGGTAAATATATAGCATTTATTTTGTATTATTTGCTCTCCTTTTAGAGGATATTTATATAAGAATTATTTAAACGATTAGTTTATCTCAATATGAAATCAAAGGTCACTGTTTTGAGAGCTATTGTGTTTTTGAGGTTTTTTTTGAGTGTTTTAGTGTAAAGTTAATGCAAAAAAATGTTGTTTCGCGAGTCAACAGCAGTTTTGTCGTTCATTTAAGACATTTCATCAAAAAAGTAATAATCATTTTAAATGACTTAAATGTTTATAAATTATGAACAATATATAAAAGCAATGAATAATCAAAAATCAAATGAAAAGGAAGAATAAAATGAGCGAAAGTAACGGTAATTACTTGTTTTGTAGACCCATTTGGTCGGACGCGACGCCAATAAACTTATCCTTAGTTTTCTTGGCTTTCTTTCTCTCTTCCCTGAGTTTGTCGTCGTCTTGAATGAAGTCAATCAGCGCTTTGACGCGATGTCTGACATTAATGCCCTGGTCTTTACCCATTTCATCCATGTATGAGTAGTTCTCCATTCCTCGGAGGTCGTAGATGTGCTCTCTCGCAGATGTGACCACTCTTTCCGACCCATTCTTCACCAGATATGAGAGCAGAAGAAGCGATTTGTAAGTTCGGCGCCAATTGGATCGGTTGTCCTGAAGCATACGCTTCCACAGCATTCCCATCACTTCCGGGAAGTGTTCGTATGTGAAGGTATGCGAAGCGATGTCATTCATCTGTTGACCCGTCGGACCCCACGAGTCGTCGTTTGTCGCTTCCCTCACTTTGGCCTTCAATTCAATACAAATCAATACAATTACTACACAATCAATGGTGTGGTCGTCGGCGGCGGCGATGGCCTCACACATCATCACAGCTCGCACTCAGCCATCGCCTCCACCGACTCATCCCAAGACACTCACCTCAACCTCCGTGTAATTCATCACAATATTTGTGCTAAAAATACAATTCAAAACAAACCGACAATTAATCAAATGATATGAAAATATGGTTTCAATAGATGTCTGAAAAATTGAGTGCAAATATCGGGTGAAAGCCTTACGCCTTGTCGTAGAGTTCCCTCACTTTCCACATATTGTCCGCCGATTTATACAATTATTTAATAATCAATAATTATATAAACAATTATATATGAAATTAGTTTCCAATAAAACTAATATAACATTAAATTTGTTGAAAAACAAAAAACCATTGAAACAAATGAAAGAGTGATTGAAATGAAACGATAATAATATTGTGAATGATTTGTTATAACGCTATGAATAGTGTATTAATTGTTGAGTCAATTGAATGCCAATCGAAATAACAGTTGGCATTAAATGAGATGTTTTTCTTTAGTCATAAATCACGTCATGAATGCACTCTCTATTCGCTCCCCAAACAGACATAAGCCATAGGTTTTGCCTTAAACTCAGTCAATGTATTCATTGACACCATTTATGGCTTAACCCAAACATTTCCTTTCACTCATCACTCCGTTTTGACTCCGCATTCATACACACCGTTGACCGCAATTTTGGTACCTTTTTATGTTCAGTACGAACACAAAATTTGTAATACAAATAGTACTAAGTGTTCGGTGTACTAAATAAGCAATTAAAAGTACATGTAAATGAATGAAAGTGATATATAATTATGGAGTGCTGTACGTATGATAACTGTATTGAGCGCATTGTTCGGTACAGTGAGTCGCATGAATGCACGCAATGTAGTGAATGCCATAACCATTGAAATAACGTTAAAGTGATTGAATGTATGGATAGGACTGTTGTGTAATAAAGTAGTGGAGGTATTGAGGCATTAAAGCACAGGTATGTGTGATTAGATGTACAGGTGTTGCCTAAAAAGTAGGCCAACACTTGCAGATACCTGTGTCTCTGTACAGTATAACAGCATTCGTTAACAACATAACCATAATTATAAGAACTTTTGATCCCCTCATCAATTAATTTGTTTGCTTTTCAAACACTATAAAAAAAAAGTTTTTGATAAGTTTGTTAAACAGATAATTACTATTACTATTACAATATATCACTCTTTTATTATTTAATGGCTTTTATAGACTCATTAGAAACATGTTTTTAGTTGCCTTTGAAATAGTTTACACACAAATTAATTGTTTGTGTTTTGTGTAATGATTTAAATCTCTTTGTAAAAACAGTTGTAAAACAGTTTAAATTATATGCCTTGCATTGCATTGATGTGCGAATGAAAGCAAACAAATTAACTTTGAATCAAATTCCTATAACTCTTTTTTTAAAAAACTTTTCAGCAAAAAATATTGCATTTAATGCATAAATGACTGATAAAAATATGGGAATTAGTGGAAACATTGTATGAATGGTTTCATTCATTCACGAATTCTCAATCACTTATCTTTTTTGATGCTTTTTAAGCATTTATTTATTTTCACAAACTTTTTTCATTTGAAATTCTCTAACAAATCATAAGAGATATATGTTTGAGGGGAATGGGAATAATTGATTGGATAATGTGTTTGGAAGTGAACGATATGTTTGAGGTTTTTTTGGACAGAAACTGAGGGTTAGAGTAAATAATATGTGAATTTAAGATTTGAATTGAATCCAAAATATACTCTGATTTGGAAATGGTTTGTGGAAAAGATTGTTGAGACATATGGAGGCAGTGGTGGTGGGACTGGAGGTATGGTTAGGTTATGGTTAGGTCTGGTTGTTATGAAAGGACTATTAGGTTTGGGAGGAGAGGAAGAAGTGGAACGCAATTTATTATTGAATATTACTTTTGCATAACTCATAACTATTGCTAAGTTTAGTGTATTATTATTGTTATGAATATTATTTGTGAAGTAAAGGCGTTTCGGTTGCAGTCAATGAAGGCATGCATTCATTGCTTATGAATATTGAGAAGAATTGATGGTATAATAGAAGAGATGATTCTTTACAGGCTTTTCATTTTCATGAAGTGTTTGCGACGCTTATGGCAGTCATGGCTGGGAAGTGCTTCGGATCAATGGAGACCAACAATCTCTGTAATTGCAATGCAGGGGACGGTACCTATCGGCCCGACCTCACCATCCAATACATACTGTTCAACCACTCCATACACTATACACTCTATTCACTACTCTATTGTCATTGAATGGAGTGTTGGAACAAAAGTGATGGCAATTCATGCAAAGCAATGACCATTAAGTCAAAACTTTTACAGACTTGAAAAAGTGGTGCACCAGTAGTACACAGTAGTTGTGTAGCACTGATAGCACCGGTAAGTATTGGTAGCACTGGTAAAGTCACAACTCGCCACTCGGGAGGCAGTGATTGCGGCACTGGTTTTGTAACACCTTTTGGTAAGAAAAGGTAAGTTATCTCTGAAATTGGATACATTGGATACAGTGGCTGTATTGATGAAGTCCCGGAGCTCTCTTTCTCTCTCTCTCTCTCTCTCTCTCTCTCTCTCTAATTTGAATAGTTAATCACAAATCACATGTCTTATCATTTGATATCTATATGTTTGACAACATTATCCGACGTGAATGTTGTGTTAGTTTGCTTTTGCCCCACAAGAACATAATCAATGCCTCTCTCTCTCTCTCTCTCTCAGAGCTTCATATTTCTTTGAAATGGTTTCAAAATAGAGTGTTTTGTTGTTAGAGAAGTGAATACAATAGACATAAGTGTATTGTGTGACCAACTTTTGGGCTCTCATTGTATTGACTTATAGTGAGAACACAAGTTTTTGGTCGCCTTTTTAACAGTTCATAGCACTGGCACTCAATATTCAATACAATTTAAAAGTTAACTTTTTTTGTATAATGTATTGATTGTAACAAACGCTCACTTCCTGTCAAACGCTAACGTGATTTAAATTTCTTGTATTTGAAGTCAAATAATAAGCCAAACAATTGTAAGTAAGTGTGCGTTAGTTCTCATGTTTTACCACTCATTGAACACTATTGAACATTAAGTGAACACCACTACTGAGTTCTCTACAGAATCTGCACTACTGTTCGCTACCATAACCACAGCCACTGCCACTCCAACTCCAACTCCCGTATCCCAGACTTATCTCCCAAATAGTTTTTATTCACTCCATCTCTCAATTGATAACTAATATAATAGTCAGTAAACTAACTATTTTTGTAACTCTTATATCAAATTACGAACGAAATAATGATAAGAATAGCAGTTTTGGATTACTTAATGGCTTTCATTGAGTTTGAGTGTAAACTCATCCCAACACTCGGCACTGCTTTTTCCCACCAGTCCTTTGTGTTGAGTGTGAATCCAATAAATATATATCCAAACTGCAGTCAATCCCATAGTTATGACCTTTCGATGCCATAGTTTGAGGTACACTAAGAAGTCGTGTTCACAGTATGTAAAACTCTGTCAATAGGTTTGCATTTAAGGTCTCTTTGAATGAAATCAAAAAATATGGTTTAAAACGACTTTTTAAACTAAACTCACCGGGGGTTCTATTGGCCTGTATTGCCCTGTTTTGGCCTCTATTGCGATACTATTGCAATGATATTGCACTGGCAATGCTTTCTATTAACTTCTATTGGCTCGTAAGGCCTCTTATATGAAAAGTGTTTAATATATTGAATGAATTCTCAATTCTTGACAGTCTATATACACTTATATACAGTGTATAGTGTGTATAGTGAACAGCAATTGCTCTTTTATACAATAGATTAGTCCATTTGAAAAACTGTTCGGAAGTTCATCAGTGGGGGGCTCTCACACAACCTCTCTCTCTCTCTCTCCGATCGAAAGGTACTGTTTTGTCCGAAATTTGCGTTCGAGTGCTAAGAGTTGTTGAGTCACTCTCTCTCTCTCTCTCTCTCTCTCTCTCTCCCTCCCTATTTGGTAGACTGTTTGCAGGCATGCATTGAAACAATTTTAAATGCTTTCATTTAAATATAATAAGAAATGTAGTTCGGCTTCGGTTGACAATTGGAGTCCATATTTATAAAAGCCGTCATTCAATACAATAGTCAATACATAAACACAGAATATATCACAGAATTTATTCACTAAAAACTTGGGTTCCATTCGTTTGCATTGAATTGACACTCGATTTGATTGGTTTTAATGCATGGATTGCGTCCACTCTAAGAGATGGTGTTTTTGCTTCACAGCCTTATATATGGTGTACAGCAGATGGCAAAGAGTGTCTATTGTGTCCTCTCGTTAACCCATCCGTGAAGAATTACCCAACAGTTTTGTGAACTATAATAGAGTCCGCCTCTCATCCCATAATAAAGTGCAATCAAAAATGAATGCATTTATTTGGTGTGCTTTCAAATAATCACATCCTTAGTCACAATAGCAGACCATTTACTCCACTTATATATTCAGCCAATTATTTACTAAACAATAAAATATCCGAAAAAACAATTTTTATTACATAAGTAGTGGTTAGAAGCGAATGGTATGTGCGCTATGTTTGCGCTCTGTTTTCGCTTTGATTAAGTTATTGTCTTTCGGTTATGAACTCAATCACCGCTTATATTAAACAATCAATCGGTTATTTGTAAGCTATAAATACGAGAATTCGTAACCAAACTCAATGGTCGGCACTAAAAATTGCTTTTATCAGAGGTTTGGCGCCAAATATACCAAAACAAATTGCAGGCTTTGGTCTCAACTATTTGACTGACATTTTATGTTAAATTATCTACAATTTAGCCATCCTTTCAATCACTGCTTTCAGCCTTTTTTGCCAAAACATTCACATTAAACACATCTAAATATTTAGTTTAGTTCAGACATTGTTCTACCGGTCCTGTCATCGGCTATATATAGAGAGAGGCATTGATTATGTTCTTGTGGGGCAAAAGCAAACTAACACAACATTCACGTCGGATAATGTTGTCAAACATATAGATATCAAATGATAAGACATGTGATTTGTGATTAACTATTCAAATGTACAGAATTTTGATGCTTCAGAATAGTTGTAAAGTCTGTAAAGTCTTTAATTTAAAGCAAACTATTCTATAATTGCCTGAAAGAAGTGATCGTTGACTACATCTCTAAACACTTAAAAAGACGATCGTTTTTGATATGCTATCACTTGTTAGACACGCAATACAATACATACAACCAAATACTGAATACTGACGAGTGTTATGAAAGCCGTAGCCATATATCGAGTCAAAGAATAATATCATTAATGAATAGTATTGGAGACAAGTTGTGAGTTGTGCTGTCAGTCTTCGAGTGATAAATTACTTATAATCTGTGCTCCTATTTGTGTGTCTATTATGAACACAACTCTCTGT